GCAGAGAGGCTGACGTTTCGGAAGGGTCTAGGCCCGAAACGTCAGCCTCTCTGCTCCTATGATGCTGCTTGGCCTGCTGTGTTCATCCAGCCCTGCACCTTGTTGTCTCGAATTCTCCAGCATCTGCAGTTCCTACTATCTCTGATTTGGTCATAGGGAAGACAGGATAGTTGTGGAGGTGTTTTTTCTGACTGGAGGTCTGTGACCAGTGATCTTCCTCAAGGATCAGTGCTGTCACCTCTATTATTTGTAATACATATTTTCTCCTCAGTCGTTTATATAAGTGGTCTGATTATTAAGTTTGCAGATGACACAAAAACTGTTGGAGTTGTGGGTAGCAAGGAAGATTATCAAAGAATAGAGTAGGGTTTAGGTCACTTTGAAAGTTGGGCAGAGAAATGGCAGATGGAGTTTCGTCTGGACAAACATGACGTGATGTATTTTGGAGGTCAAATACAAAAGGAAAAATATACAGTAAATGGCAGGACCCTTTAGGAACATGGATATATGAGGGATCTTGGGTTGCAAGTCCAAAGCTCCCTCAAAGTCGCCACACAAGTGGATAAGGTGGCAAAGGAGGTGTATGGCATACTTATCTTTATCGTTCAGCGCACCGAGTTGGCAAGACATATTGCAGCTTGATAAGACTTTAGTTAGGCCACATGTGGAGAACTGTGTACAGTTCTGTTCACCACACTATAGGAAGTAATTGGCTTTGGCGAAGGTGTAAAAGAGGTCTACCAAGATGTTGCCTGGATTGGAATGTATTAGATATAAGGAAAGGTTGATTTGATTTGATTTATTATTGTCACATGTACCGAGATACAGTGAAAAGTATTGTTTTGCATGCTGACCAGACAAATCAAACCTTACATAAGAACTTCAGAGTAACAGAACAGAATGCAGAATATAGTGTTACAGCTACAGAGAAAGTTCAACTCTAATATAGGTTGGCTAATGAGGTGCCACTATTTAAGAAAGGTAGTAAGGAAAAGCCAAGGAACTATAGACCAGTGAACCTGATGTTGGTGGTGGGCAAGTTGTTAGAAGGAATCCTGAGGGACAGGATTTACATGTATTTGTAAACGCAACAACTGATTAGGGATAGTCAATATGGCTTTGGCCCATTGGCCCATCTGATCAAGATGGTAAATTGTGTCTCACTAAGTTGGCTGAGTTTTTTGAAAAAGTAACAAGGAGGATTGATGAGGGCAGAGCGGTGGACATGATCTATATGGACTTTAGTAAGGCATTCGACAAGGTTCCTCATGGTGGACTGGTTAGCAAGGTTAGAGGGCATACATTTAAGGTGAGAGGGGAAAGACTTAAAAGGGATCTAAGGAGCAACATCTTCATGCATAGAGTGGTGCATGTATGGAATGAGCTGCCAGAGGAAGTGATGGAGGCTGGTACAATTACAAATTTAAAGGGCACCTGGATGGGTATATGAATAGGAAGGGTTTAGAGGGATATGGGCCAAATGCTGGCAAATGGGACTAGATTTATTTAGGATATCTGGTTGGCATGGATGAGTTGGACTAATGGATCAGTTTCCATGCTGTATATCCCTATGACTCTATGAGAAATTTGTTCATAGGTCTGATAACAGTGGACAAGAAGCCGGTTTTAAATCTGGTGGTACATGTTTTCAAACTTTTGTATCTTCTGCTGATGGAAGAGGGTGAAAGAGAATATAACAGGGATGGGAGGGGTCTTTGATTATGTTGGCTGCTTTTCTGAAGCCAGACAAACTTGAATTGTTTTTGTGACAGCATTGGAGGCTGATGGGTGACCTGATAGAAAAATATAAAATTATGAGAGGCATGGAAAGTCAGAGTCTTTTTCCCCCAGGGTAGAAACATCAAATACTAGGGGCCACAGGTTTAAGATGAGAGGGGAAAAGTTTAAGGGAGATGTGTGAGGAATGTTTGTTACACAGAAGGTAGTAGGTGCCTGGAACACGCTGTCAGATGAGGTGGTAGAAGGAGATACATCAGCAAAGTTTAAGAGGCATTTAGACAGACACACAGACAGACAGGGAATAGAAGGATACAGACCATGTGTATGCAGATGGGATTAGTTTAGAATGGCATTATGGGCAGCACACTGTTTGGTGGGCTGAAGGGCCTGTTCCTGTGCTATACTATTTTATGTAGTCAAAACTATAGCCAAAATCAATTTCCCTCTGATTCCCTCTCCTTCATTCGCCATCAATCTTTCCTTGTAATAATTCTATCTACTATCCACTCAAATGATGAGATCAAAACATTGTATCTTTCTCTCATTGATGTTATGCCCTAATTTTCTCTCTCTAGCTAATTCTAACACTTAAACATTTGTCTTTCATATATGCAGATAAATTCCACAATTCATGTGTTGGATTGGCAGGATGATCTCCTACATACCCAGATCTTGAATGCATTCAACTGATCAATAATCCATTTTTTTATCCATGTGTCTGAGGCATACAACATAGATGACAAAGACAGCACCTCAAAATTCTTTTCCTAAGATTCAGGTTAAGGATTTTTGATGTTAACAAGTCTTTCATTT